AACCCCTAATTATGTCACCTTGATGAATTACGTCACCTGTCTGTGCATTTTCAGTGTTACAATGAGGAGATAGAATAGACTCAGGGCTTAACCAGGGATTGGAATTTTAGGAAATTAACAAGAAGTTATAGTGCTGTTCATAGGAGATATAATGACTGAGGCTCAGCTTTGCCTTCTAGTAGGCTAGTCTGAAGGAGGATGGAGAAGACTGACAAGCACAAGAGAGAGATGTCTTCGGGCACAACTGAAAAATAAAAACCCAAAGCAGTAAATAAAAGGACTGTATTCTTTTGTATCCTTAAAATTTCTGATCCTACCCCAATAAAATGATTTTTAAAATTTTCTGATCCTGACTTACAACCTGTTAACTTCTCTATTACACCCATAATTGTGAGTTGTAACAGTGTGTTTTATGTGGCCATCCCAGCAGCTTATTAAACCCGACAAAGAAGTAGAGTGCTTAGGAGGAATAGTTGATGTCAGAATAAGGGGGAAAACTTTGGAGGTTGGAGACACGTCTGAACTCTGCCTTGCAGGGATTGGCCTTGGGCTCCTATGAAGTTGAACTCTCCTTTCCCCTCTTGTGTAGCCAGAGGAGGTCAGCCATGCTCCCCCCCCCCCATTGCCACAATTACTTTTGGATATAGTATGGAGAATGGACTTGGTGATGGATAGACAGGACTAGAGATAGGGACATCAGTTAGGAGGCTGTTATAGTACGTAAACAAACAGGAGATGATAGTGGGATGAGCTTAGTAGTGACAGTGGGGATGGTTGGAAGATAGATGAATCACAAAGAATCTAAGCCGCAAGCACAGGTGGCAAGTTTTCCTTTCCTCAACTGAGTTGTAGCTGTGAGCAGCCAGCTGCCACTGTTTCCTTAGCCCCAAGTTCTCTTACATATAGGACCTGCCTCCCAGAGTTTTGGGTCTTGTTTGAATGTTTTCAGTTTGAGGTTCAAGGTTCTGGAAGCAGTTGCTTTTGGAAAATGGTTAGGTGCTGTGGAGTTCTTTTCCAACTCACGGTAACCCCTGTGTACAACAGAATGAAACACTGCCCAGTCCCGTGTCACTCTACAATTGTTGCAGCCTTTAGGACAACCTCTCTCGCTGATGGTCTTCCTCTTTTTCAGTGACCTGCTTTAATCTGCATGTCCTTTCCTCCAACTCAGAAACGATCTCACTGCCATGGAGTGGATGCTGAATCGTAGTGACCCTGCAGGACAGGGTTGAACAGCCCATTTCTACCATTGGTTCTTGATCATATGCTAACTCTTAAAATGGTTGTGGGGTGACTATTTTTGATGCAGTGACTGTATTCCTTCCATCTTCTTTTAATACTTCCTGCATTGTTCAATATTTTGCCCATGAAGTCCTTCAAAATTGCAACTAGAGGCTAACATTTTTTCTTCAATTCTTTCAGCTTAAAATATTGAATGTGTTCTTCCTTTTTTGGTTTTCTGACTTCAAGTCTCTACACAGTTTAATGCTCAACTTTGTCTTCTTGAGCTACCCTTTTAAATTTTCTTTAATGTCAGCTCTTTAAAAATTTTTTTAAATTTCATTTTATTTTATTGGGGGTTATTACAGCTCTTAACACAATCCATACATATATCCATTTTGCCAAACACATCTTTACTTCTGTTGTCATCATCTTTTTCAAAACGTTTTCTTTATACTTGAGCCCCTGGCATCAGCTCCTCATTTTTCCCCCTTTCTCCCCAATGCTCCCTTGATAATTTATAATTTTTTTTCATGTTTTACACCAACTGCTGTCTCATTTCTCCCACTTTTCTGGTAGAATAGTGATTAGGACTGCTAACCAGAAGGCCAGCAGTTCAAAACGATCAGCCTTTGAGGAAGAAAGATGAAGTTTTCTACTTTCATGAAGAGTTACAGCCTGAGAAACCCATAGGGGCCTTCTACCCTGTCTTACAGGGTTGCTTTATAGGACCGGTAAGAGTTAGAAGTGACTCAATGGCACTGGGTTTGGATTTGTTTTAGTCTGTTAGTCTAGAAGCTCCACGGAAACCTATTCACCCTGAGTGACCATGCTGGTATTTGAAATACCAGCGACACAACTTCCATCACCAGAGCAACATGAAAGCCACCCCAGTACAACAAACTGATAAATGGTTTCAAATGGTACCTCAACTCCCACACATCCCTCTTATAGCTTCGTCCTCCCATGTGTACCAAGTGACATAGTGAGATAATGAGGAGTTGTTAGTTTCCTTGGGTGGTGATATCTTCCACCATCACCATCCTCTTTGCCTTTGTTTCCCTGTAAGCAGCCCATACAAGATAACGGTTCATTCCGTTGATCGTGTTCAAGACCCTTAGATTTCAAGTGCATGATTAGTATTCTGCCCAGGGAAGTTTGTTGACCTCCTACAGACTATGGAGGGCAAAATTCAGATTCCTAGTTTATACTGCTTTTAACTGGATTCTGGTATGAGGAATGATGTACACAATGATGTAGGTTTTTCTTGCCCTGATAAAAGTTAGTAAGATGCACTGTGATTGGGCTGGAACAGTTTTCATTAGCTCAGGAATTTGGGCATGAGGCATTTCCTGTACTAGTCAAAGGACACTAACTAAAAAAGAACAAAGGTTTTGTATTAAGTAGGAAGAAGGAGAATGTCTGCTTTTGGGGACCTGCTTGTTCAGATTGTGTGTGTGTGTGTGTGTGTGTGTGTGTGTGTGTGTGTGTGTGAATGTGAAGTATAGCATGCATACAGAAAAGAACACAAAGCACACAAGTTAAAGAATAATTACAAACAACACCTCTCTAACCATGTCCACAAATAAGCTCGTGTAAGTACCCAAGTAGCCCTCTTGTTCTGTCATAACTCTTCTCCCTAATCCCAGCATTGACTTTTTCGGCAGTCATTCCCTGGATAATTTGTATCTGGAGTAGTGTAATGTGGTTTTGCTTATATTTTAGAATAATGCTATTATGTTTGTGAAAGTCATCTTTGATGTGTGGGCTAGCTTTAAGTTTATTCACATTTTGCATAATTGTGTTCATAGCACTGTACCAGTTCATTTGTCTATTCTGCTCTTTTTTCCCCAATAAATCATTTTATTGGGGGCTCTTTTAACAATCCAAACTGTCTTTGTGTCAAGCACATTTGTACATATTTTGCCGTCATTTTCAAAATACTGTTTTTCAACTTGACCCCTTGGTATCAAACCTGTCCATTCTGCTCTTGATGGATATTTGGATTGTTCTCTATTTTAGTTGCAGTATTGCCACAAACATTCTTGTTACACACTTTCTGTTTGTGGTCAAGAATTTCTCTAGGATAGGCATGTAGAAGTCTATAATGGATGTGCAATGTAACATGTGTGCATGTCTAACTTCATTAGATATTGCCAAACTGTTTCCCAAAGTGGCCATAACGATTTACTATCCCAACAATAGTGTGTGGGAACGCCTATTACTTTATAATCAAATAGACATGAAAATGTTTGCCAACTGTAGGAGTATAAAGTGGTATCTCAGTTAAATGTGCATGCCCTATTTACAATTGGTCTTTGGATTTAGAGCTTATTCAATTCTTTACCACTCTTAAAATAGTGCTCCCCCTCCCCATTTTAACCCATTGCTATCCATATGGTTCTGACTCATAGCAATACTACAGGACTGAGTAGAACTGCCCTTTGGGTTTCTGAGGCTCTAAATCTTCATGGGAACAGAGAGCCTCATCTTTCTCCCTCAGAGTAGCTGGTGGGTCGAACTGCTGACCTTGTGGTTAGCAGCCCAAGGTGTAACCCACTACACCTCCGGGTTTTTTTTAAAAGAGTCATGTCAGGAACTTTAAAATTCTTTGTTTCTTACCTGAAATAATGTGCTGAAGGATAGCTTTATAGAGATCTCTTAGCTTGTGGGATCTTCAGACTTAGGTCTTTTGAAGATATTGTCTCTCCTCCCCGCTCACCCCCAACCTTTCTGGTACTTGGGATGCTTCCCAGTATTTCACTGATCCCTCTTCACGTTCTTCTCCCTCCATTTTCCTGTTTCCTAGACTCTGAAGAGGCTCATGGCAGATGAGGTAAGGAGATTTCGTTCAGCATGTGCATGCTCTAGCTAATTTCCTACACTATAATATTTACCAGTTGACATAACCTTTGACTTTCTGTAGCTTGTCATGGTGATATGGGTTCTATTCTCGGATCATCCCAAGGCCTTTCCCATAACCCTTTGCATGCTTTTCCCATAACCCGGGCACACTCATCAGTTTCTCAGTTAGGTGCTCATTAAACTCCAAGCTAACTAATGGTCTGAAGCCCCACAGTGGTTGCAGATGTTTTCTAACACATGGAGGTGATAACTATAGCTTATTGGTGGCTCTTTTTGATGAGAGCAGCTGTACTTGTGGTTTGAGGAATGGTTCATGAGCATTTGTTTGACACAGAGATGGTATATAGGCCCCTGGAGCATACTGTATTCTTAGCTGAAAAGATTTATACTAACTAAAATAATGTGTAGTGAACTCTTGCAGCCTAAAGAGCACAAATGCTGTGGAGTATGCAGAAGAAGAAAAATTAATCCTTGCATTAACAGTTAGTCTTGAAAGCTCACACGGGCAGTTCTACCCTATCGTATGGGGTCTTTGAACGAACACCGATCAAGGGCAGTGCGTGAGAGGGAAGCAGAGGGCGTCTCCATGAGATTTTGCTGCATATGAGATGCTTTCAACTCTGTTGGCAAGAAAGTTGAAGGGCAAAGTTCCTCTTTTTAGAGAACTTTTAACCAACCCACTCTCAGTACTGTAGTTCTCTTATCTTTAGATGAAGATGAGAGTAAAACGTCAGTATATTAAGATATAAGGAAAACTGAGTTTTGCCTTTTCATGTCAGAGCTTTGAACTGCCCATGAACCAGAGGAGGCATGCATGTGTATGAGGTTAGAGGGTTGGGTGTTTGATGTGTGGGTTTTTTGTGTAGATGAAAATGGATCATGGCTAATATATTTATTTTTTCCCCCTTCCTCAGCTGGAAAGATTTACCAGCATAAGAAATAAGAAGGAAAAGGAAAAGTCCAATTCTGCTCATAGAAATTCTTCTGCTTCATATGGAGATGATCCCACAGCACAGTCATTGCAAGATGTTTCAGACGAGCAAGTGCTGGTCCTCTTTGAACAGATGCTGGTAAGTTTCCTACCCCAAAAGATTGCTTCTTCTTAAATATGCACTTATGGGCATGGCGAGCCTTTTGTTTAGTGCACGTTCTCCCTAACTAGTCTTTCATTACAAAGAATTCCTACTTAACAGGGAACTTTGTAATAGCAATCTTGTTAACTAAGAGACTAAATAGACACCTGCCAGTCCATAACATTAGCATCCATGAGTTAAGCTTGGAAGCATGTTATCACCAACTGTCCTCTTAATGCTCTGCCAGCAACACCGTAGCCACAAAGACACGGGAGGGTAGAGCAGTTCACAAGCTGTATGCGATCATCCCCGGGATAAGCCAGAAGAGACAACGGTTGACCTCGCCACAGTGAGCTGATACAGAGAACTTAAGGAATGGGAAGGCATTGTTTGTCCAAGGTCCTTTATAGTAGTGGTGACTATAGACAGAGAATTCTCCTGTTATAACCTCCAGAAAACATCTAAAGATTGTGGATGAAAGTCCGTAAGTAATGTACATGGATGTGACTTATTCCGCTGTCCTCAGTGAGCACACGGTGATACTAATGTTAAGTACATGCATACAAGCTTTCATAGGACCAGAGTGCTGCATGGGTATGTGCGTACATACTCATAGAGATTCGTGACACACTTAATTAAAACTGTAGAGTGGGACACACATTCAAATCACTATCTTGGAGCTGACACTGCTGTTTCTGACTCTGCAGGCTAAGAAATTTGGCTACCACATGAGTGTGCGAGTCCTTGTTTTCTAAGAGGAAGATGAAATTGATTGCTGCAGGGCATTGATCTGTACTTTTTTCTACTCCAGTTAGCATTCTGTTTCACCCACATTTAAAAAATTCAGGTCCATTCTGGATTTACTTCATTGCCCATGACTGAGCTGGGAAGAACCAATGTAAAGCCCTGTAAATAAATTAGGCTACATAAAAGATGATACAGGAGAAAGGTGAGGCTTCCTATCCCCATAAAGAACTACAGTCTTGAAAATCCAGGGGGACAGTTCTATTTAGTCCTATAGGGTTACTGTGAGTCGGAATCGACTCAATGCCTGTGAATTTTTATAGAAAATGATAGAAAGTGGAAGAGCCTGCTAAATCAAAGAAGTATTTTTAGCGCCTCTTGTTAGAAAGGGCAGCCACTACTCCATTTCACTAAACAGCTTGGTTCTAGTAGGGTGTAGTATTTCAATAAGGAGTGCTAGATCCATAGTATAGATATTACTGTTTTTCAAAAGAAGCCAGACATGTGGACTTTGACATGAAGTCTTAGAAAAATAAAATGTTGATCGAGTCAGAAAAAAGCCTAACTTTATCTTTGGATCTTATGACTAGGGCCAGCACTTTGCAACTTCCCTTTATATTGCCTGCAAAAGAAAAACAAAAACAGTGGGAATTGAGTCAGAAAAACTTCAAATTATTTCTCCAGCCTCCTCCCCCAAGAAGAAATACATTACAACAATAATTTGTTTTCTATACTTTGCCTGATTTCAAATAATATTCTGTGCTTATTGAGGTTAAACTTGTACACCCTAAGGTACTAGACTCAGGTACATGGTTATACACATGGCTATATATATTGAGGTATAACTTCAGGCAGGGCCTTTCCTCCAACAGAATTCTCTTAAGTTATGTGTGTGGACGGGCCTTTATTTTGTCACAGAGTTTCCATTTCTTCCGCGAAAGGAGTTTGCATAGGACTGAATTAAACACGGGTGAAATGGCCATTTAGGGGCCTGAGTGGTTAGTGGTTATGCTTTGGGCTGCCATCCGAAAGGTCAGCAGTTTGAAACCACCAGCCACTGAGGGAGAAAGGCAGGGCTTTCTACTCCCTTTAACAGTTACAGTCTCAGAAACTCACAGAGCACTTCTACCCTGCCCTGTGGGGTCTCTTTGAGCCGGCCTTGACTCAGTGGCTGTGAGTTTGGCTCTTTTTGTTTGTTTGTTTTTGTTTAGTGGGCATTTGGGTTCTAGAGTTAGTGCAGATTTTGCTGGTTTTTGCATGATGCCAGTCATATATAGTACATCCATCTGGTCAAGCTTTGGTTCAAAAAATTATGTGCTTTATTTTTAACAATATAAAACAAATTTTATGTCTATTCTGAGCCCGTTTTTTCTAGTTAAAATGAGCATTCGATGTATAAAAATATAGGAATTTCTATTAAAATGTTAATTACATTTGTTGCTGTTAAGTGCCGTCGAGTCACTTCTGACCCGATGCACAACAAGTGAAACACTGCATGGTCCTGCCCATCCTCACAATTGTTCCTGAATGATTATATTTAGTCCTAAAGAATTTCCCTCATCTGTAGTAGCTTTAATCCCTGGGAACCAGGAAAATTCCTTCAATCAATAGGCATTTAACGTACTCATTTCTCCCTAAGGATACCAAATATTAATGTGAAGATACATTTGATGTGATTGTTTTCTCTTTATCTGCTAGCTGGATATGAACCTGAATGAGGAGAAGCAGCAGCCTCTGCGGGAGAAGGACATTATCATCAAGAGGGAGATGGTGTCCCAGTACTTGCACACGTCCAAGGCCGTGAGTCCTAGGGCATGCCATGGGAGACTGCCCTCATCTTGCTCATAATCTTGGGTCTGCTTGTTTTGTGAATTTTTATAGCATTTTATGTTTATATCCATTCTGTGTTTTGCTTCTGTTTGAAAGACCAAACTTAGGTGCTTTTTGCTTGATTTATCTTCATGAAGTATGTACAGGGAATGGGATGAGAAATTCTCAGTCTCGTATAGTTTGGATGTGTGTATCTTTGGTGGATGTCCACCCTAAAATGATTGAAACAGTAGCGACTAACATTAGTCTTCGATTTATGGCTGTGTCCAGTGCTTACTAACGTCTCATTGTACCTTCTGCCTAGGGCATGAGCCAGAAGGAGAGCTCTAGGTCGGCCATGGTGTACATTCAGGAATTGCGGTCAGGCATGCGGGATATGCCTCTGCTCAGCTGTCTGGAGTCTCTTCGTGTCTCTCTCAACAACAACCCTGTCAGGTGAGAATGTGAAGGAGCTAACAGGTGTTGGGACCCAGGGTCAGAGCTCACTGGTGGGAACTGAGCTCAAAGGACTGTCAGGAAAGCATGAGAATGATCTGGGTTTGGAGTAAAGCGCTGTCAGAATAAATTATTTTTGGTGAATAAGTACTTATTGGTTTGATTTGATATTACATTACCTTTGTGTATTTCTTTCAGTTGGGTGCAAACATTTGGTGCTGAGGGCTTGGCCTCCTTATTGGACATCCTTAAACGACTTCATGATGAGAAAGAAGAGAATGCGGGGTGAGGACTTCTAAGGCTTGTCATCTGGGTGAAGAGTGGGAGGAGATTGACTACTTTCTCTGAGGAGGAAATAGCAGTCAGATAAAAAGATATGGCCTGAGAGTATGTGTTATTTATCTTAAGGGTATCTAGAAGATAAATGATGCTTATAACTCTTAAGAAAAGTGTCAAGGTACTACTGTGAGATACATACCACATAAGATTACCAATCTCTAAACGTGCACTAAAAACACAATGAAATAATATATTTAAAAAACTCTTCTTTCATTGATCTTTGGTTTCCTCTTTTTTAAGCCTCAACATAACTTTTACTCTGAGCCATTTGCTTTTTTTCTGGAATCAGAATGATCTCCCTATATGCATATAAAATAACTACTCAGAATAAATCTTTTGTTTCAATTTTTTAAATTTGAAAAAGAGAAAAAAATCCCTCATCTCCCAGTACCAGTTTTAAATCTAGTCTGAAAGTAGAAATTTTATTTAATCCAGAGCTGCCCTGTGTTCTAGTGTGGGCCATATCTCATTTGGAGGTATTATAATATACTCCATCTGTTTCTTGGCTTACATCTAGCTTTACAGCACTCTTCAGGCCTGGAATCATTCTGAGGATGCCTTTGATGATCATAGGCTACCCTGGGGCGAACTTGAACCAAAGTGGCTTCTTGACTTTGTAGGGCGAAAGACAATTCAGGGCCTGGACACCCTACATCTACCCTCTGAGACTTGAAGCCTTGTAGTGAGGCAAGCAGTAACAGATGGAATGTGGTTCTCATAGACTTTAGCAGTTAGGAGCCCAGTGAGAGTTAAAGGGATGAGTGTAATGTAGGACTCAATTCTTAGGAATTGAGAGAGAATTAGAATTAGCCAAAAGCCTTTGACGGTAGGGATACCTCTTCAGCTTCCTACTTGTTGCCACTGTTTCAGAATAACATATCATGTGCCAGACTTTACTCATCTACAGTCCTTGTTTGCCAGATTGAAAAGTCAAAAGGGAAAGGGATGTGGAATAAAAGGACTTCACTGATTAGATCTTCTTCTTGCAGAAACTATGATAGCCGTAACAAGCATGAAATCATTCGCTGCTTGAAAGCTTTTATGAACAACAAGGTGAGCGTTTTACTGTTCTCACATCTAACCTCCACCTTGAGTCTCATTCTTTCTCTTTAATTGGCAAGCCCACAAAAAGAGCTAGAAATATGAAGTTCAAGACTGGAGTGTCTGTCGTTGCACACATGCAGACTTTTATGGGACTTTTCCCCCCACTCTGACTTCTGCTTCAGAGAGTATTTCAGAGATCAGGCTTGGTTTTCTTTCTCTTTCCATACTGTCTATTACTAAATCTTGCCTTTTCTTGACCTGTAGTTATCATTTGGCGTAGGGTTGCTTTATTCCCTGCTTGGTTTTTTGTTTGTTTGTTTTAGTATTTCAAAGATCTTCCTGTCAAAGGATCTTTATTTCAAATATCTTTACTTTTACCAGAGTATAAATCTATCACTGTTTATTATTCCATTGACTTTTTTTCTTTTTCATTAAGAAATGTTTATTCTCAGAAGACCTGGAATTGCAGTATGCCTGCTAGAAAGTGATTTTGCCATCCTCATCTCTCTTTAGCTCTACTAGGGAAAGTGTTCCAGCCCCCAACTTGTCCCTGGTGCATGCTGTCATCTTTAAGCCTCCCTTTTCTGTTCTTGCCCTCCCAGTTTGGAATCAAGACGATGTTGGAAACAGAAGAAGGGATCCTGCTGCTGGTCAGAGCCATGGACCCTGCCGTCCCCAACATGATGATCGATGCCGCTAAGCTGCTCTCCGCTCTTTGTATTCTACCACAGCCTGAGGACATGTATGTGACTGGAGTCATTCCTCTCTTCACTTTCTTTACATCTTCTCTCAACTAGAGGGAAGCTGAATTGCTTGAGGTCCTAAGTAACTAGATAGTACGGTAGTTTGTCCCAGATGTAAACACTGTGAATCTTATCATTTAAGATCTCACTGGTTTTCAGAGGCATAGGAGGATGTCTCCTCAGATCTCCAATTTTATCTCTATTGACTACTTTTTACTATTGTTTTTCTTCTCCTAATTTGAAAGTAATACAACATACTTTAAAAAAATTCAAACAATGTAGAAGTATATAATGCAAAGTGTAACGGCCTTCTCTATAGAGGTTACTGACTTAGAATGTTAGTAGCTTAGAGGTTACTGTCTTGTAGAACATTTTCTAAGCATAGATAAACATACTGTATTTCTTAGATTCTTTTTTTTAATTAAATACTTTTATTGGGAACTCTTACATCTCCTATCACAGTCCATAACCCATCCATTGTGTCAAGTACATTTGTATATATGTTGCCATCATCATTTTCAAATCATTTTCTTTCTACTTGAGCCCTTGATATCAGCTCCTCATTTTCCCCCTCACCTTTCCTCCCTCATGAACCCTTGATAAGTTATAGATTATTATTTTCATATTTTATATCATCGTCTGTCACCCTTCACCCACTTTTCTGTTGTTTGTCCCCCTGGGAGGGGGTTATGTGTTGATCCTTGTGATCCATTCCCTCTTTCTCCCCCACCTTCCCCCTTATCCTCATGGTATCTCTATTCTCATTGATGGTCCTGAAGGGTTTATCTGTCCTGGATTCCCTGTGTTGCAGGCTCTTATCTGTAGCAGTGTGCATGCTCTGGTCTAATCCGATTTGTAAGGTAGAATTGAGGTCATGATTGTGGGGGAGTATTTCCTTGATTCTGAGGCATCTTCTATGCCTCAATAGGTGGTGGTTTAGAACTCAGAAAAGAGGCTTATGCTTATAAGACTCATCTTACGAATTTTTGTTTTCATGGAGGGGTTTTATTTAACAAAAATTGAATCATCATGCATCCTTCTCAGTTTTAAAAAATTACTTGGATGTCCTCTGTGCCAGTACTTATAGATGCACCTTATTATCTTTAGTTGTTATTTGGTATTCCATAGTGTTTATGTCCCATAGCTTATTTAATACTTCTCTGATTGTTAGGCTTTCCCCCCTGAGGTTGTCCGTCCTCCACCCCACCCCAGCAGATTCTGACCTCTACTCAGGTGATAAAAAGAAAACTGCACTATTGTAAATAATGTTGCAAAGAAAATCCTTGTATATTTATTATTTCACATTTATCCATGTTGGCTAGGTTTCTAGAAGTAAGCCAGATATTACATGCATTAAAAACTGATTGGTACTGTCTTCCAAACTTGGTACCAATGTATACTTCTTAGAACACGAGTCTTAGTTTGATATCCTTGGATAAAGGAATCTAAGGGTGTGCTTTTGAGAGTGTGTTTTTCTTAGCTTTTAGTAGATTCTGTCTCCCACACTAGGTGATGAAAGGAATAGTGTGAGACATTTGGAGCACTGATAGCATTCTGGTCCCCATGTAATCTTCTTGTTACATATATATGTCAGCTCACCTGGGTAGTTCTCTCCTTTCCTTTTGTCTTGGGCAGGAATGAAAGGGTTTTGGAGGCAATGGCCGAACGAGCTGAGATGGATGAGGTGGAACGTTTCCAGCCACTGCTGGATGGATTAAAGAGTGGGACCTCCATTGCACTCAAGGCATGTATAGCCCCCTGAAACTGGGCCCCCTAATAGAATTCAACAGGAAAAGACTGGATTCGTTTTACCTTTTAATAGAACCACATTGAGTAGTTCCCAACTATGTATTTTATGTTTCAAATTTGTTCTGATTAACCTTCTCTCAAGAAGTCAGAAAAAATGGTTTTTCTGATAAGTTGGAAAAAAGACAACACCTGTTTACAAGTTAGAAAAACCCAGTATGTCATCAAATCCTTATAATCATTTAGACCCTGGAACCCTCAAAATTCATGCTCAAAACAGGCATCATCGTTACTCCAGTAGAACGTCGTTCTTTTCTTCTCTCTCCTTTAAAAAATCTTGAGGTTCATCTGGTCCATCTCTTTGATGGCCTCAGAATGCATGGAAAGAGAAGGGAATCTTCATTTCTAGGAGCCGCATTGACTTAAATGTCGCATTTTCTTATTGCAGGTGGGGTGCCTACAGCTGATCAATGCTCTCATCACACCAGCTGAAGAACTTGATTTTCGAGTTCACATCCGAAGTGAACTGATGCGCTTGGGACTGCATCAGCTGTTGCAGGTGAGGCGCAATACTTCATCATCAGAAAGACGGGGCTGCTTCCTTCCTGCTCTTAGAGCCTAGATGCCTCAGGGCTAACTTGGTGTGCACTTTATAAATTCAGTTGGGAAGTTTGGACTTGTAGCCATGGAGGACATTTCTGAGTCACCTGACTTCTTTTTCTTACTTTTTTTTTTTTTTATTTTATTAGGGGCTCATACAACTGTTATCCCAATCCATACACATATCAATTGTGTAAAGCGCATTTGTACATCGTTTCTCAAAACATTTTCTCTCCACTTAAATCCCCAACATTAGGTCCTCATTTTCCCCTCCCTCCCCGCTCCCCCCTCCCTCATGAGCCCTTGATAGTTTATAAATTGGTATTTTGTCATATCTTGCCCTGTCCGACGTCTCCCTTCACCCACTTTTCTGTTGTCTGTCCCCAGGGAGGAGGTCACACACAGTTCCATGTAATCGGTTCCCTCTTTCCTACCCATTCTCCCTTTACCCTCCCTATTTTGCCACTCATACCACTGGTCCTATAGGGCTCATCCGTCCTGGATTCCCTGTATTTTCAGTTCCTATCTGTACCAGTGTACCTCCTCTGGTCTAGCCAGACTTGCAAGATCGAATTCGAGTCATGGTAGTGGGAGCGGGGAGGAAACCTTTAGGAACTAGAGGGAAGTTGTATTTCTCATCGTTGTTACATCGACTTCTTTTTCTTATTGACAGGATCTTCGAGAAATTGAAAATGATGATATGAGAGTCCAGCTCAATGTATTTGAAGAGCAAGGAGATGAAGATTCCTATGACCTGAAGGGACGGTTGGAGGACATTCGCATGGAGATGGAATATCCTTTTACTGTCTGGGTTCAAGACAGATGAGGCATTTGTGTATTTGCTTAGTTGCATTCTTGTATTCAGATCCCTGCGTGGGATGTGCAAGGGGCCAGCTCCAAACAGGCTAGCAGGCTTTGTGTCATTTCAGTAGATAAAGCAGGGGTCTTTTATTTTTACTGGTCTTATTTACCTTGGCATGGATCCGGTAAATCAGTAAGCATGATCTGACAGTTGCTTAACATGGAAGCAGCCATCAAAGTCCGATGAGATTGCCTAGAACATGATAACTTAAGCTTAAGAAGGTGTAGACCCGGTGTTTGGAGAACAGAGTCAAGTCAGGGTGGTGGTGGTGTAATTTGCTTTTTTGTATGTGCCCCTGAAATTGAAAGAAGTAATTTGGTCACCTTTTTGGAATTTGCCACAAGTGACTTTAAGGCATTTCTGTCTTAGTTTCTATACTCCTTGATCTTTAAGCCAAGTGCTATAGGAATCCTCTATCTCTTCACCACCAACTTACTGATCCCTTGGCCAAAGGAAGTTTATAGAGCTTAAAGTTTCTGGTGATGTGTATGGGGGAACAGTTGTTAGAGTGGAAGTAGCATCTTGCTACTTTCCCCCAGCTTCTTCAAGATTTGGGTAAGCCACTTGTCAAAAACTCTCCAAATATGTGCATTCCTTAGCCTGTTTCTGTTTTCCACTGACTTCAGTGAAGTGTTCCAGATTCTCTTAAACACAGTGAAGGACTCCAAGGCCGAGCCACACTTCCTGTCCATCCTACAGCATCTACTCTTAGTCCGGAATGACTATGAGGCCAGGTAAGACGGAATGTCCGGGACATCTTTAATTTGAGCCTAAATGGAAAAAGCAAAATTCCTAGGTTTAAAAATTGTTGTATAAAGAGGGAAAGAAAAGACAAAAATCAGGTTTTACTTATGGTCAGAATTATAATGGAGCAGTCAGTCTTTTAATCCAGCTAAAAAGCATCTGGGAAAGGTCAGAGAGTGCATAAGATGAGATGTCCTCGCGTTCTCTCTTTCTCTCATTGAAGTTGATGGCAAAAAGAAGTGGCAATTTAAATTCCTTTTGGTTACCTTGAAATAGGGACTCATATAACACTGTCCATCACAGGAAGAAAGAATTAAATACACGTTTTGGGTGCAAAAAGCGTCAGATGACAAGAATGTTTGATCATTTGAAATAGATGGGGTAGCTGGTATGGAAGAGGAAGATTTCATAACCTGACTCGTTCTTTTCTTACCCTTACAAAAGGTTCTTTTCTAGAACCCTTGTCCACTTATCTATTACTGTTAAAGCAGTTATTTTTTCTTTATCCCAAATATTTCTTAGGATTATATTTTGGTTTTCCTTTGATAGCATTGTTTTTTTTTTTTTCTATAGACCACAGTACTATAAGTTGATTGAAGAATGTATTTCCCAGATAGTTCTGCACAAGAATGGAACTGATCCTGACTTTAAGTGCCGGCACCTCCAGATTGATATTGAGGGGTTGATTGGTAAGCATATTCTTTCATCTGACTCCTCAAAACAGTGCTTCTATCTTCTTCCATCGTGCTAAAAATTCAGAGAACGTATGTTGCCAGTAACTTCGCTTTTCACCAAATATTATTACTTTCTCCCTCTTTAAGGTCATAATCAGGTCTGTGCTCGGACTAAGTATACATCTTTAGCTTATTTCTATCTAAATTGCACATTTTGGGACCATTAGGTATTACCCGCGGCTCCGGCTGGTCTCTGAGTCATAAGTATTACGTGTAGGGGCTCTTCATGCTTACCCAGTGTGCTTGTCTTACGAATATACACACTCAGAAATTATATGTTGGGCCTGGCTGGAAGTGTCCAGTGTGGGACGTTAGGAAGGGTAACGAAAATAACCAGAAAGACAAAGCACTGAACTCAGGTTAGATTGAGCAGCTTAGGTGGTACAGGGAAGAGAGATGTCTTGGTTTTTTAGTGCCGCTGTAACAAAGACTTGAAGGGAGTGACTTTAAGAGACCCATATATCCTCTGACTTTAGGAGGGTAGACGTTTGAGTTAAGGATGCTTGGCTCCAGGAGAAGGATTTCTTTTCCTCTCTGCTCTGGGGGATGGTCTTTGTCTCTTGCGAGCTTCTACTCTTGGGCAATGTGTCCTGTAACCTGGCACTTCTCTTTTCTCATCTCTGTGTTTTGCTTACTTGTTTAATTTCTCCTATCTCTAAAGGAATCAATTTCAGACATACCCTACACTAATCCTGCCCATGAACATAACGAAGAATCCATTCCCAAATGGGATTATGATCACAAACACAGATTTACAACACACATTTTGGAAGACACAATTTAATCCATAACAACAGAGTTAGGAGCCTTACTTACCAACTCTTCTCCTTTTTAGATCAAATGATTGATAAGACGAAGGTGGAGAAGTCTGAAGCCAAAGCTATAGAGTTGGAAAAAAAGGTGTGTACGAGGCATCTGAAAAATGGAGCTGTATCTGTCTTTGTCGGAGGACGATGGCCTTTCTAGCACATAAAGCATTCAGCACATCATAGTCATCCCAAGGGGAAAGACTTTTCAGTATAGGCTACTCAGTGGAGAAGGTGGTGTGGCTGTGATTTTGAGGAGCTAGTGATGGCCTTGTACAGTTCACGGGCCCCGATCAGGAAAGGAAAGTCAGATGAAGCTCTTGCCTAGTAGTGATGGCTGTCTCAGGCTTCTTGGCTTTAGAACAATAGGAACTGTGCTTTGTGTCCTTTTCAGTTGTTAAGGACTGTGATTGTGCTTGGTAGGTTTGTGATCCTGAAGACGATTGGGACCATATCACCCACCACAGCTGTTCTTGTGAAAAAAGTGTTTAATCTTAGGGTTGTTTTTTTTAATGTAACTCTAAAAGTACATGGAAATTGTCCCCCTCTCTTTTTACTTTGGTCAGTGTATTAGCACAAAATAGTAAAGTATGGGGACTAAAAATTGTCCCCTTTTGTGAGCTGAAGAGCTTCTTGGGAGCCTGGTTCTTTTCTCCTTTAGTTGGACTCAGAGTTAACATCCCGACATGAGCTACAGGTGGAAATGAAAAAGATGGAAAGTGACTTCGAGCAGAAGCTCCTGGACCTTCAAGGAGAGAAGGAAGCATTGGATACTGAAAAGCAAGACATTACCACTAAGAAACAGGACCTGGAAGCAGAGGTGTCTCAGCTCACGGGAGAGGTAAAATCTGCCCAGGGAAGGCTGAGTGACCACAGAGGGCCATTAGGAGCCTCAGGACAAGCGTGCATCCTAGAACAGGAGTGACTGGTCTTGCTCCTAGAGAGCATTCGGCTGTTAATGGTAGTCCAGTTAGACACTGCATGGTTGTTGTTTTCCTTTGGGGGCAATACATACACTATGAAATGTAGACAAAATAAACAACAAGATTAATCACAGTACCACTTAGAAATTAAGGTCTTCTAAAAATTTTATGAGTAAAAACTAAATTAGCCCTTCATAAATGGGCTTATTTTAGTTACATCTGGGTAGATTTATCCCTATACATTCCCTGTGGGGTTAAAATATTCAAATGATCTTACACACCTGAGAAGCACATATGCTAATTTTAGAACGAGAACATTTTATTTATTTGACCCTTACATTCCAAAGACAGGGTTTGATATAAAGATTGAAGTTATATTTTAATGCAGAGCAAGGTGAACTAAATACGTAAAGGCCTGAATTCTAGTTTTACATCTTGCACTAGACAGCCTTGAGACCACATTAGCCACCTGTACTCCCTGACTCCTTTTGTCCATTCATGTGGAAAATGGGAGGTTTGGATAACGGAATTTCTCTGCTCCCTTCAAGCCTCAGTAGGCCGTGGAATGGAGTTAGATGTGTTTAATCTTTCCTTCTGTAGGTTGCCAAGCTGTCAAAGGAACTGGAAGATGCCAAGAAAGAAATGGCTTCTCTCTCTGCTGCAGCAGTGGCTGTAGTTCCCCCTGTACCCATCAGTAATGTTCCCCCTGCCCCTCCTTTACCGGGTTACTCTGGCACTGATACTCCACCTCCACCTCCACCTCCACCTCCTCCTCCACCTCCTTTGCCTGGGTCTGTTCACATCCCTCCACCCCCTCCTTTGCCTGGGTCTGCTCATATCCCTCCACCCCCTCCTTTGCCTGGGTCTGCTCACATCCCTCCACCCCCTCCTTTGCCTGGGCCTGCTTTCATCCCGCCACCCCCTCCTTTACCTGGAAGTAGTAGCATTCCCCCACCTCCCCCTCTACCTGGGAGTACTGCTGTCCCTCCACCACCTCCTCCTTTGCCTGGAGGATCAGGAATGCCCCCACCCCCTCCCCCTCTTCCTGGAGGAATCCCACCACCCCCTCCTTTTCCTGGAGCCCCTGGCATTCCCCCACCTCCACCTGGTATGGGTATGCCTCCACCTCCCCCTTTTGGGTTTGGAGCTCCTGCAGCCCCAGTTCTGCCATTTGGATTAACTCCAAAGAAACTTTATAAGCCAGAAGTGCAGCTCCGAAGGCCAAATTGGTCCAAGGTGAGCATTTCTGTTCATTTCTTCATCGTAGACCTCAAAAGACCATTTCTGTTCCCTGCATTATATACAGTACATGGATGGTCTCTCCTTTCTGGTGACTCAATCTGTCTGTCTTCGGATTCCATTCATGCTTATGTTTATTGGATAAATATTGATTGAACATCAACACACCAGATAGTCCGTGGAGAGTTCTGTAAACCCTATGCTCTGCGAAAAAATTTGAATCCATTATTAAGTTCAAGGTTTAGCCTTTCCTTTGAAGATGAGTCCTGTGGTAACTCATTGAAGATTATAATCATTTTACCAATATGCAAGCTACTCATAATTGCTGGTCCAAAAGTCCCACTTCAGTTTCTGAGCTCCTCAGGCCGTGTTTCCATGGCATGGTATCATCCCCACTTGGGGTTTGAGACCCCTTTGGTGCTAAGCCAACTTTTTGCTTCCAGAAACCACATTAAAATAAAAGCGCTTGGGGACATGTTCATAAAATTAACAAATTTGATGGCACTAAATTGATGTGAAAAATGTAATGTAAAAGCAAGGAAGATGTGAACTAAAGCCTAATCCTGAAACAAGAGGATTTAGAATTAGGAGGAGAGTAAATATCGAAGTCTGTGCTTCTCAACCTGTGGGTCGTGACCCTTTTGGGGGTTGAACGACCCTTTCACAGGGATTGCTCGATTCATAACAGTAGCAAAATTGCAGTTATGAAGTAGCAACGAAAATAATTTTATGGTTGGGGGGTCACCACAACATGAATTGTATTAAAGGGTCACGGCATTAAGAAGGTTGAGAACCACTGCTGTAATTGAAGATAGTTCTTGAATAATCACCAGTAAACAAGCAGGAAACATCATCTCATGATTCCCCCCATGAAGAACACAGCTATTCTCTGTCTCGGGTTAGTTTTATACTAGGACGTTGCTAACAACTAGCCAGCAGCCTCTTTTGTTCCTTAATCACTTTTCAGAGTTGAAAAGTTCAGAGCTCACCTTAGTAACTCCTAACTCCTTGCATATATCCACAGTTTGTGGCTGAGGACCTTTCCCAAGAATGCTTCTGGACAAAGGCAAAGGAAGACCGCTTTGAGAACAATGAACTTTTTGCCAAACTTACTCATATCTTCTCTGCCCAGACCAAGCGTGAGCACCGTCCTCTTTGTGCAGGGTTCTAGTGTAGAGCTAAGAGTGTCCTTTTTCTAAGCCCCTTCTCTGAGGATGAGGGGGGAAGAGAGATGGGCTTTCCCATTAGTTAAAAAAAACAACATATAAGATATTTGCATGTTCGGAGACGTGGGAGTCGGGCAGGTATTTTCTAGCAGTATTACTGTGGGAGATGAGATAAGGTGACAGAAGTTCAGGCTGAACTCATTTTGATGATTCTATTGGCTGGATTCTGCCATTGCTTCAGGTACCCGTTTCTAGACTTCAGTACTTAATAAGGGTTGGGCAGTCTTAGCACATCAGGTGGGTGAGTGACTGACTACAAAGAACCATGTGTGATTCTGTTTCTTTCTCCCATTTCTCTCCAATATCTGATGCTTTCTCCTTTCTGGCTGGCCCTTGGCTCCTCCAGCTTCCAAAGGTAAGACTGCATACATCTCCTGAATGTTTGAGAAAGGGCTGAAGCCCATGTCAAAGAATTTCTCTTCAGAAAACTGAGACTAGAGATTAGGGATTGATTTTTCATTTGCTCGGTTTTTGGTTTGGGTTTGTAACTTCCCGGAGTCCAGCAGAAGCATTCACTGTGGTGTTACTTAAGCTGAAACTTCCATATACTTCTTTTTTTTCTTTGGATGGTGTCTTAGTCATTTATTGCTACTGTAACAGAAATACCAGCAGTGGATGGCTTTTAACAAACAGAAATGGATTCTCTGACAGTTTAGGAAGCTAGGAGTCAAGACTCTGGTGGACACCACCAGGAACATCTTTCCCTTAGGAAAGGGGAAGGGTTTCTCTGTGTGTCAGTTCTGGAGGAAGGTTCTTGTCATTAATCTTCCCCTGGGTCTAGGCGGGTCTCAGCACAGAGACCTCCAAAGGACACCCTCTCCTTTTAGCTTCTCTTTGTTGTGGTGGTCTGAGGCTGGCTTCTCTCCCTTCTCTTTTGTGAAATAAGACATGACAAAATAATAATAATTTATAAACTATCAAGGATTCGTGCAGAAGGGTGGGCAGGGAGGAGGGAGGGGAACAAATGAGGAGCTGACACCAAGGGCTCAAGTAGAAAGAAAATGTTTTGATAATGATGATGGCGAAAAATGGACAAATGTGCTTGACACAATGGATGTATGTATCAACTGTGATAAGAGTTGTATGAGCCCCCAATAAAATGATTTCAAAAAGAAAAAAAAAAGGTGATAAAGGTTACACCCCAGGGAACTCCCCTTACATCAGATGAGAGCTATAACATGATTAAGGATGTTGTATTCCACCCTATGTCAGATCAGGGCTGATCATATTGGTGCACATCACGGGAGATGATTATATCATCGTACGATTGCCAAACAGCTGGGAATCATGGCCCAGACAAGTGGACACATATTTTGGAGGGACACAATGCAGTCCGTGTCAGGTGACAAGAGACCGCTTACATAAGAATATTAGATTTATGTTGTGTTTTACAGTCTCCAAAGTGCTTTAACATGTGCTGTCCTAATTGACCTGCAAAGGCACCTCGCAGAATCGGCCAGGTGTATATTAACTCTGTTGTGTAATATCTACAGACTGGATAGTTAGGAAGCTTGCCCAAGGTCATACGGCCAGATCCAGGTATCTGGACTCTGGTCTTCATTTTTTATTTATATAAATTGCTTTCTTATTTAACTTTAGATGTTCTCTTTTCTTTAGTAAATTGGTCTATTTATTTTGTCCTTTTCTTTCTTCACTTCCCGACTCCTGTGGGTTTGTATTGTCTCTGACGGGGCATCTGTAGTTATTTCCCCTAAGGGGTAAAGCATTTAAAAGATGTTGCCCTATACTTAATGAAAATTATAACCAAATAGTTTTATAGTTCTTTTTGTGTCATTTTTGTCTTCTTCCCAGGTTTATTATCACCCTAATAATGAAAATTAAGTGTAACTTTGTAGCATTCCAGTCTGCCACCACCCATCATTTTTTAAAGTTTGGATCTTTTGTTTTGTTTTTCTATGAATGATTTATAGGAAGCAGGCTTCCCGTTCAAGAAGCCTAACAGGTTGCTGGGTGCCTTGGGTGGCTCTACCTGTGCGAATGTGTACCTAGGCATGTAAGGTGACAGTGCTCAGGCCTCGCACCGTGGCCACAGTGATTTTTCCTCTTAGAGAACTGTCACCTTCGCAGCGCAAAATCCTGTGATGGTGATCATTCATCTATCCTAGTATATCAAAGAAAACCAGTTGACAGTAAAATGAAATCAAATTACTTCCTAATTTGTAGGTTCACAGAATTTTCTCTGGTTGGTCTCTTTGCTGCCACCGGGCTCTGTGCTCGGAGTGTTATGGTGAGGTACTATCAAATTCCTTTGACTCATAGCTATCCCACGTACAACAGAACAAAACTGCCAGATCCGGCGCCACCCTCACAATTGTTACCTTTGGGCCCCTTGTTGCAACCTTGCTGTCAGTCTATCTCCGTGAAGGTCTTTTTGTTTTTCACTGACCCTCCACTTCTTTATCAAGCAGGATGTGTCCCTCTCCAGAGACTGGCCCCTGCTGAAATCATGTCCAAAGTATGTGACACAAGGTCTTACCATCTCCTGTGTACGGCGCATTCCTCTCTGGTGGTACTTCTTCCAGGCCAGCTTTGGTGGTGGTTCTGGCACTCCACAAGACTTTCAGTGTTCTTTGCCAACACCATAATTCAAATGCATCGGTTCCTCTGTGGTCTTATTTTTCATTTCCAGCTTTTACATGCATATGAGGTGATTGAAAATATCACAGATTAGGTCAGGTACACTGTAATCCTCAAAGTGACATCTCTGCTCTTGACCACTGTGAAGAGGGCTTGTGCAGCACATTTGCCCAGTGCTGTACATCATTTGATTTCGTCCCTATTGCAGTTCTTCCGTGAACATTGATTGTGGCGCTAAGTAAAATGAACTCCTTGACAGCTTCAATTTTTTTTGTTTTCATCATGTTTATGAGCTTCTTATGAAGAGTTTTGTTTTCTTGACACTGAGGTATTGGAGGCTGCTCTGAGGGTACGTGCACACAAGTGTACACTGGTTGCGTCCTTGTCTCCACACTCCTGCCCTCGCCTTTTGTTAATTCTGTACATTTGCATTCTTACTAGTTGTAGTTCGATTTTCTGCAGCTTCGTGTCTTCCTTAGCATTATCTTCCCATTATGAATTGCTGTACATCCTATTTTTACAATAATCTTGTTATTTTCATCAGAGTTTTCAGACTTTGTATACTCTATCATTAGCTCTTAACTTCTGCCCAAGAACTTCAACTTTTGTTTCCTTTTCTAAGTATTCTTAGGCGTTTTCATATCTTTTTATCATTGAACATAGTTTAGTGGTAGTATTGCTTTTCATATATTAATCATCATTACTAGTAAATTAATACTATTTTGATGAAGGACATTTCTAATTGGTTTTAAAAAATCATTCGTTAGTTATATTTTTAGGTGTCAGGTTAGACCTGTCTTAACTGTGTCTGTGTCTGTCCCAGTGTCTGTCAGGAAGCACTAGAAAAAGTGTTCTTAAAATTCCTGAACCATGAGGAATTGTCTAGGTATCATAAATCTCAAACATTGTATAAAATTTCTGGGAGAGATTTTTTTCTGTTATATATATATATATATTCATAAATATGTATTGCTTACCCTACTCCAACTGTTACCTGGGGCACTCTAACATAGCAACACTTCCTTGCTTCTTGTCAGTCATACTATGTCTGTGTACTTTCCAACATTTCCCCACAACAAACAAACCCCTTCCTTTAAAAAATTATTTCTTTGGCTTTTCATTATTTTCTTGGCTCCAATGTTATCCTACTCATGTATTTTCCTTCTGCATTTCCTGCTCTCTTTCCTTTTGTGATACTCTGTAAATGGATGGTGGTGCAAAGAATTGCATGTTGAGGCTTGTTTGAAGTTTAGTTGCGTGGCTAGCTTTTTGCATGGGCATCAGGTAACAGGTGGAAGTGCTGCCTCCGGCCCCTGTAGAACACCTGTTGTACTTGGGTGACTAACTTATCCCTGCCTTGCCTGATACAACCTTGAGCCTCTCAGTGCTCATTCTGGCTATTGCAGTACAGTACAGTACAATACAGTACAGACTGTTTGCAAATGGACTCTCTCTTCCTCACAACATACCCACAAAGAATATTTTAATAAAAAGATGTTTAGGTTTCTTTCAGGTAATAATTTCAAGCACCTGAAACTTCAGAGTAGAGGCCTCAGAGGACACAGATCTCCTCAACATGATAAACGGGGCACTTTGTTCTCAGTGCTTTAAACGTCTACATTATAACATTTCAGACACAGACCTTGTATCCCCATTCCTGTCTTCACCGTTACCAAATCTGTCACTCATTGGCTTAGACTTGATGATAGAATTAACTGATAACTATTCATTACAGCTCTGTAAGAATAGACACTTGGTTTAAGTAATATTTCTAAGGCTACATGGTAAGTGTTAGAGCCAGTATTCAAATTCTAGACTAAGTGACTGATCTAGCCCTCTGCTTCCCAGAAGTATTTGTAACTGCCCTAAGAGCCTCACAAAGCACTCTCGCCATCATTAAGTTGACTCCAACTCATAGCGACACCGCTGTAGGACAGGGTAGAGCTGCCTCCCTTCATCTCCGAGACTGTAACTCTTTACAAGAGTAGAAAGCCTGGTCCTTCTCCTACAGGGCGCTTGGTAGTCTCCCACTGCTGTCCTTGCAATGAGCAGCTTCACGCATAACAGCTGTGCCACCCAGCTCCCCTGAAGGCATAGAGCCAGCTAAAAGCAAGCTAGAAGAAGGGAATTTTGCTGGCTTTATTAGCCACTTCTTTCACTCAGGCAGAGGTATCCTTGAACTGGCAATGACTCTTAGGAGTACAGGAAAAGTAATGATACATTAGAAAAAGTCAATTACCAGATTTTTAGGGTTGGAGTTAAGGAAATGTATACTAATTACAGTATGAGGATAAATGAAATATTGTTACGAAATCATAGAGGCCCTTTACTAAACAAAAATATCAAAGTATGAAGTGATTCTTTCTCAAGATAGCCTGAGTCTATATCTTGCATGAGGAAGTCTTTGTGCTCTTTGATTTACACTACTCACAGTGGTAGTTTTGACATCCTGGAGGGTTGCAGATCATGTCCTGGTAAATCATTCTGTGAGTTTGGGGAACACAAAGAGTCTGAAAGGGCAGGGTGGGGGCTGTCGAGTGGATGGGGTAAGGTTTCTCAACCACATTTTCTTAGGACAGCTCTTGCTACCTTGGAAGAATAAGATGCGTTGTGCTGGGACAAGTCCCTCACAGCTTTCCTGGCCTTTTTCTCACCACTGTAATTGCAGTTTTCTTCAATCTTCATAATAAGGTTCCTCCCACCCCCTGTGATCCTTTGTATCCTTCAAGAAAATCTAACCTTGGATCCCAAGAAACA